GAGAGAGAGAGAGAGAGAGAGAGAGAGAGAGAGAGAGAGAGAGAGAGAGAGAGAGAGAGATGCTGGGACTGTGAGATCGACTGACAAAGTTGATTGTTTAATCTTGGCAGATGGTGAAGTGCCTTCTTTGTATTGGCTCGCTCAACAAGCTGTTCTTAAGTGGCTTGATGCTACAAGCGAATTGGAGGCAAAGAAGATAATGAAGCTGATTCCTGAAATGATGCTGAACGATCTCTATCGAAGTCGCAGACAAGGAAGACTAGTACTGGCTGACTTCGTTGCAAAGATTGCGGTAAGAAGTGCACCTGACCTTTTTTTGACTAAACATACAACTGTCTACTTGCCTGTCACTTTCCGAATCTTTCCTCTTTAAAATCATGGATGTCGTTCGGTGGTCTCAATCTGGATTCTGGAATCTTTTTTTCTTTTTCTTTTTCTTTTCCATTTCTTGATTTATGCGTGTCATCCTTGCTGTCAATCTGGAATTTGTCTTGTTTTCTGCCTAGGGAAACTTTATAAACTGTTCGGCAAAAGTTCGTTGTAACTTCGTAGGCACCGGACACATGGTAGGATATACAGTGGGTGTGGGACATGCATATGTTTCCCAGTTTGGAATCTTTGGTGGGCAATACAGCTGGAGTGGGACATGCAAATGTTTCCTTGTTTGGAATGTTTGGGACAATGTGTATATTGGGACTGCTACAGACATATGTTTCCTAGTTTGGATGGGACCATGTTGTGGTGGGACTGTGATGTAGGTATGTCTCCCAATTGGGAATCGTTCGGATGATATTAGTGATGATTAAGGCGATCCCCACTGCGGCGCAGCTGCGGCACACAGTTGGGGAGGGGGGGTGGAACATGGCCCCAAGAAAAACAGGAAAATTACTGCACAGCAGCTGCACAAAACGACATGGATGAGAATGAATCTCTGGCTGGAACATGGACAGATACACTGCCACCTTTTTGGTCTTTTGTGCATGTGGTGAGTAGTGCAGCGAGACCCTAAACAACGCTTTGGGCCATCCGTCAACATCTGAATCATGCAGAGAGGATTACCATGGCCATTGGCCTCGCTGCTCTACTGTTACATCTTCAAAGCCACACGGGCCCTACCGGACCCGACTTAGGGCTAGAGGGACACAGCAGGGCCTAAAGGCCCGGACTTGGGGTACAGCAGGCTGTAAAGGCCAGGTTTTTGGACCAGACCGACGGGCAGGCCCAAACGACATTCTCGTTTTGGGCCTGGCGGTGCTTTTGAGCCTGCCGCCCGCCGATCTGATCTGAACCGTCGATCTCGACGGTTCAGGTCACGGCCAGGCCTCGCAGCATTGAGGCCGGCCTCTTGGCCACGGGTACTTATACCGGTACCAGCCTCATTGTGAGGCATCGAGCCACTGGCATGCTGCATCAGCGCCAGTGCGTATCAGTTGAGGAGCAGTGCTATTCTTAGCGCAGGAGCAGCAGCAGCAGCAGCGTGAGCTAGCGCCGCAGCAGCGCCGAGCGAGGAGCCACACAGCGGACAGCCATAGCCGACTTCGGTTACCGGCAGTTACGGCAGCCCAGGTACTCGGAGGCAAGGTCTTCTCCTCCCTCCACGGTCCCTGGTTCCTCTCCTCCTCAACTCCCTCCTCCTCTGTTTCTCTTCTTCTCCATCTCTTCTTCTTCTTCTCCATCTCTTCTTCTTCTTCAGACTTCTTCTCCATCTTCTTCCGACTGGAGACTTGATACTAGTTGGACAGAGATCAGTGTTGGACTTCGGTGGTAAGAGGCTGTGGTACTTACCGGGTTCGAGACTTGGAGATTGTTGGGGATGATACTCGGCTGCATCACAGATTGGACACCGGTTACATTAGGACTCTRTATCTCCGGCATTGGTGACTTATTGTCCACGACATTTGATCTTGTTCGATGACATTTTGGACTACCATATCGGTGACCTACTGGTTTCTATCTCGGTGACATCTGGTGCTACCTACATCTCCCACCTCCTTCGTCTCTCCTCCCACCTCTCATCTGTGTATGTTTGTACGGGGCCTGAGCATCGTCTGTGCTTGGCTCAGACCCCAACATCTCACGATTGTTTGTGTGTGGAGTGATATCTGTGTGAGTCAGTCTATGTGAGTCAGTCCATTATCAGACTTCTGCTGCATACATGCTCATCCTATATTGGTTGATCTTTGGTTCTGCCCCATACTCGTTGAAGTATTCACAAGTATGCAACAGTTTTGGTATCGGAGCAGACCAACGATGGATCTGCTCACCAGGTAAGTCTGATTTAGGAATAGATTGCTTCTTAGATCTTCCAAATCAGCTCTGTATTACTATTGAGATTCAAAGTTGCAAATTTTTTTTTTCTTTTTCGGTATTCTGTTTAATCAGCATTCCGTTTCAATTCAGTATTCGGACTTTCACTTCGGATTTCTGTTTTATCCGGTATTCTGTTTACTTCGGATTCCAATTAAGTGCGTTCTGGGTAATCCGCCATTCCGTTTTTAATTCGGATTTCTGATTTTTGAAACGGTATTCACCAGTTCGCAGAAGCAAATGCAGATCCCAGGGCTTGATCCCTAGTTCCCCATCTTACCTGTGTACAGTATTGATGACAACCCGTAGATTTGAACCTGCGACCTGTCGAAACGCCAGTGGTAGGTAGATTGTCGTAGGTCACAGCTTAGAAGGGAATCRAACTGTAGAYCTGTAGGGTAGGAGTCTAGACAGTKCCGAAGTCGTAGCTGTAGGATGTCTGAAGGGTCAAGGTAGTAGCTGCTACTTACCTGAAAGGGCAAAGTCGTAGCTGCTACAGTACCGAAAGGCCAAAGTAGAAGTTTCTAGAACTGGCCTTTCGGAGTCAGCCCCTGTTTAGGCCGAGGCAAGTGGGCAAGTGGTGTAGGTCCACTACGTAGAGTYAGCAGTCCCAGGTAGCCCAGTCYGGTCCAGTCAAGCAAGTACCGTCTGGGACTGTGCACATCGCGGGCCAAGGGATACAGGGCAGRCCAACGCCGCACAGAAGTATAARTCAAGAGGCTGCGTCCARCCATTCATTCATTCCTGCGGATGCCATGCGGAAGCGCTGCCTCAGCAGCTTGTGCGAGRAGGTCTGCAGTGCGCCCGAAGACGAAGAGGGCAGTGAAGTGTAGTGTAGCGATAGGATAGTGGCAGCCATAGCTGCCATAGCTATAGTAGCGTGTGTGTGTGTGTGTGTGTGTGTGTGTGTGTGTGTGTTGCGTGTAGAGTGTTGCGTGTGGGACATCCAGGGTAATCCAGAGTGCGAACAGTGAGTTGTGTGGGCGCTCAGTCGCCATAGCCAGTTTGAAGGGAACTCCCACCTGGTTACGATATCTTTGAGTACTGTGTGGGCGCGTGTCGC